AAGATCTAGGGCAGCAAAGGGTTCTTAGATTTGACACCAAATTTCAAGCCATAAACTTGATCGATTAAACTTTATCAAAATTAAAAACATTTGCTCTGGAACAGATCTTTTAAGAAGATGAAAATTTCAGAGTAGGAGAAGATATTTGCAAACTACAGGTCTGACAAAGATTAGTGTCTACGAGATATTTGAAAACTCTTAAAACAACAACAACAGCCATTCCAATTGGAAAACGGGAGGAAGATGTGGAGAGTCATTTTGCTGATGGGGACAGGTGGAGGTAACGTGAATTAGCAAATACGGAAATGCAAAATAAAACCTTGAAGAGATATCACTACGCCCCTATTGGAATAACTAAACAAAAATTGTGACAACACCAAATGTTGGTAAAGATGTGGAGAAACCACATCACTCTTATATTGCTGGTGGAAATGTAAGATGGGACAGTCACTACAAAAACGGTTTTGCAGCAGTTTTTTTTTTTTTTTAAACCTAAACATGCAACTACCTTATGACCCAACAATTACACTTCTGGGCATTTATCCCAGAGAAATGAAAACTTAATATTTGCATAAAAACTATCACATAAATATTTATAGCAGCTTTATTTATAGTAGCCCCAATCTGGAAACACCCTGGATGATTTTCAATGAGTGAATAGTTATAGAGACTATGGAATACTACACAGCAATGAAAAAGGAAAACACCTCCCACGCACATGCACACGTGGGTGATTTTCCAGAGAAATATGTGGAATGAAAAAAGCCAATCCCAAAAAGTTACATGCCATAGGATCCTAATTAAAGAACATTCTTGAAATGACAAAAATCGCAGAAATGGAGAACAGGTTGCCGGGGGTTAAGGAGAGGGTGGGATGGGCGGGCAGCGTATGTGGCCATGTAAGAGAGATCCGTGGCATGGAAACATCATTTGTCCGCGTAGACAGTGCACTACAGTTTTACAAAGTATCACGTTCAGGGGAAACTGAGCGAAGCCTGCCCTGGGTCTCTCTGAGTTACTTCTTAGACTGCATGTGAGTCTACAATTAACTCAGAAGGAACGATACCAAAAAGAAGAGAATGACTGAAGTAGAAAACGGGGCTGAACTGAAGAAACAGTAAAGGGCATTTATGATCAAGAGAATGAACGAGAAAAAGAAGGGAAAAAACATGAAGAGAGGGAGGAGAGAGAAAGAAAGAGAGGGAGAGGGAAGGAGGGAGGGAGGGAGAAAATAAAACACAATCAAGGGCAGATGCTTAAAAGGGGGCGGGGGTGTGATGAGAGGAAGTAAGGGACAAAGGTCGGGGCAGGGGCACCCCCATGGGAAGCCATCCCTGTCCCTGGCAGTCTGCCTCAGCCTCTGCTCCCTTGCACCTCCCCGAGGGGGTCATCTGAGGGAGCTGGAGGGCAGGCAGGCTGGTGTGAGGAGCCGGCTTCCAGCGTCCATCTCAGGGGCCTGTGCAATGTCTGGCCTGAGGTAGGAACTCCCTCCATGTCGTTGAAAAGCTATGAGTGACCACGTGAGTTCATCTGATGAAGGGCACTTGGTAAAGCAGCTGAGGAGCTAGGGTGGGGAGCCCCTCATGCCCGGGTCCTGTGGGTCGCTGTGGATTATTCACAGCCCTGGTAGTCTGCCTGTCCTTGTGGCCTTTGTTTGAGGGTCCCTGGGGCTGGGTCCCCCTAGACTCTCATGCCTAGTCCTCAGCAGAGCAATCCTGGGGGTGACTCTGCTGGGCAAGACCAAGGTTGGCCCCACACAGCACCTGGGGTGCTCCTGCCTGTCATCCTGGCCTTTTTCTTTTCTGAGCAGCAAGAAATCCTGTGGGATGATGGCAGTGGGGCCACCTGATTGTCAGGCGGGGACCCGAAACGTGGGCAGCTCGCCCAGGAGCAAAGCATAAGTCCCAGGGCTGGGGATGAGGGGGCGGGGTGGGGTGGGGTGGTGTGCTCACTCCCTCCCCTCCCCCACCTTCCCTGTCCCTTAGACTCACTGGCCACCATATGGGTTGATCCCCAGTCACCAGGAAGTGCTGTTGCCACATGCCAACTGGTCAGATTACCCCGACCTTTGGCCCCCAGCCTGCTCTGGTCTGGAACGTTAATGGAACCTAGCATTTAAGCACCAGCCAGGATCTCCAGGGTCATGTGTTGAATAAAGGTTTGGCTCTAACATTTAACTTGACATGGCTCTTGGCAGGGTTACTGCCATCCCAGGCTCTGCTGCTTAGAATAGCTCCCTTATCAGAAGGTCAAGGTAGGAAGAACTAGATTAGCCGCTGCCGGGACAGCCGTGCCAGCCCTAGATGGGGACGCTATCTGCTCCCTTTTAAAATCGTTTCAGGGAAAGCCACTCCACCAGTCTTTTTGAGAAACACATTCAAGGATTTTTATTCAAGTGCTTCACTATAATCCTTTGTGTTTGAACTCCAGTTTTCTTTGCCTTATCTTTAGGAACAACAGAAACATTCCTCCATGGCTGACAACTGACCTAATAGTCACCTGGTGATGGGTCGTCTCTTGGAAACACAGCCACCCCTCAATGTTTATAACTCATACGCAGTGAAAATCTTAATAAAACATGGCTCCCTTGACCTACCTAGCGGACCCCTGGGCCCTCTGCTGTCCTTCCACCCCCAGCCTAAGTAGCCAATCAGTACTGGCTCAGAAAACATCAGGTTTTGCGAACATTCTCCTAACCGGAAAGCATAACCCTCCCTGACCATCACATTCCAAGGTTTTCAAAAATTAATTATTCCTGGCACATGATAACAAGTAAACAGTTGTTGGATGAATTTAAAAACAAAACCCAGAATCGGATGCACTTTTGAAGCAGTTGAATGCACAGCACACCTGTTGGTGACTTTGCCCACAGAATGGACCAGGAATTAGTCATGTTAAGGGCAATTGGGAACTGGAGAAAGAGCACTCCAGATGCTTCTTCCCCCCGGTGGGGTCAGCTTCATCTCAGAGGACAAGGGCAGACTTAAGAGCCTCCCAAATTCCTGGACAAGCCCAGTCAGGAGCTCACAGAGAGCCCCCCAGGGAACTTGTCATGCTGCCTGGACCAGGGCCAGCGAGACCAGAGAGCACGGTGCTAGCACCACCACACTCCTGTTTGTGCCCACACAGGGAAGCTCTCCACACTGCAAAGCACAGCTCATGAGAGTCCCATGGACCTAAGTTCATCCCAGAGAAGGGAGCTAAGCTTTTAGGATAACCCTGGGCCGAGCAAGCAACATGCCCCATCTCGCCCCACTCCATAACCCCTGCCGGCTGATCTCCACCTCCTTCAGCTGAGCTGCTTGCTGGATGGAGAGAACCCAGCCCCTCCGGGATGCTGCCTGCTGCTCAGATGACAGACGCTGCCTGTGAGCAGGGCCAGACTCTCAGAGCAGTGTTTGGAGAGGCCCGGAAAAGCCCATGCCTGGGTGGCAGGTCCCCGTTCTGCTGGGCAGCTAGAGAGAATGTCTGGAACACTGTTTCAGGGCGAGCCTTGTACTTCGTGGAATGTACAGGCAGGTGCTACGAGATGTCTCCTCTCTTTCAATGGTGGCCCTGACACCATTCAAGAAGCACACGCCCTGCGTTTCAGGGCTCCTGCTAAAGGCCATATCCCACCTCTGAGCAGAAAGCTGCCATCTCAGGTACTCAGCAGCTGAAAAGGCCAGGCAGCCTGACCAAGGTCAGAGCCTCACCTCGCGGGCACTTCCCTGTAAGACCCCAATCATTCCACCCACTTATCCCTCAGGATCTAGGATGCCTGAGGGCCTCGTTCAGCCAGCTGATGGATTCATCCCTGGATCTGAGGAAAAGGCATGGATTTGGGAAGGCAAGAACATCTTTCAGGCTCAGCTTTTCATAGTGGACAGACCCTGACTTTGTAGCCAGAGGACCGGGGTGTCAGAACCGACAGCCCTAGTGCTTGTGCTAGGAATTCCGCAGCTTTCGTGTCATCTATAAACCAGGAGAAACAAGCTCTGCCCCTCAGGACTGTCCAGCTCAGCAAGCACCTTGGCTTCATAAGCATCTGTCTCTTTCTCACATGGAAAGTGCCTTGTGAACTGGAAAGCCCTAGAACAAGTAGCTCACAATGAAAGCAAGGAACGTTTGGAGTCAGACCCCAGGAGCAAGCCCTGCTTTATAGGCTGTGTGCCTCAGGCAAGCTCCACAGCCTCTCTGGGCTGCCGTCTCTCACCTCCAGATTGAGGCTGGTGATCTCTGCCTCACCAAAAGAATTTAAAGAGAGTAAAGTACACCACAAGCGTGCCTGTTCCCGTGGTCTTCTGGTGTTTGAAAGGGCTCTGAACAGGTGCTGGCTGGCCGTGCCCACCCCATATTTGGGGTAGGCCTAGAACTCTGGGGTCAGCACTGACCTAAGGAGAGGTCACGGGGAGCCTAGCGTGGGGGACGGGGTCTGGCAGGAGGAGGGGAGTAATGAAGGTCTCTCCTTCCTCATCCCCTCAACCCCTGGCCACTTTGAACGGTTTGGAAGATATTTAAAAAGAGATGGGCAGGTATTAGGAAGTGGCAGGGCAGCCAGGAGGCCCAAACCACAAAGCTGTGCTTCCAATGTGGTCATGGGTACAGGAGAAAGCGAGATTGAGCTGAGGACCTAAGCTGAGGGGTCGCTGTCCGCACCTGCCCTCTCTATCCCCACCTGAAGACAGAGCCGCTAGGGAGGGCAGTAACGTCCTCCCAACTCCCCCATCCGGCAGTCGCGGATTCCAGGCGCCGCCAGGTATCCCCAGTCGGGTGTCAGAGCCGAGAGGATCACTCCCTGGCTGGCGGCCCCCAGCAGGGCAGCCTGCCACTGCCCAAGTCTCCTGGTCCCCAACTGAATTTGGGACTGCCCAGGCCTCCCCACGTGAACCCCCGGGCTCTGGATCTGGCGAGTTCCCGGTGAAAGCCTGTTGCTGGGGTAATGGGCGCCCGAGTGAGTCGCCCGCCTTCCAGAAGCAGCGGCTGGGGGCGAAATGGAGGAGCAAGAGAGGACAACTTACTTGCTGAGATCGGCGCTTCCTAGTCCAGGCGATGTTAACTTCGGGGAGATGGCGCAGGAGAGTTCAGGGCTTCTGGGGGGACCATTCAGCCCTGGCCATTATCCTACGACTAGCGGTAGTCTAGCGTCTCTCTCTGCTGTGGGGTCACCTGGGCAGAGGCGTCTAAGCCATCCTGTCCCTTCACTCCCCGGCTCCCTCGGTCACTCCCTTCTCCAGCGACAGCAGCTGGAGGCTGGCTGGAGCGCGCTCGCGCTGTCTCTCTCTTCCCCTGACCCTTTCCTTGCTTCCCTTCCCAGGGTACTCCTCCCTCTGCCCCCCTAGAATCTCCGAGTAAGGAGGCGACTGAGGGGTACCGGCAGAGGCAGGAGGGGCCGCCGGGGTGGGCGGAGGCTCCGAGTGATGCGACGCCAGTTGCCGGGAATCCGGAGCAGGGGGAGGGCGCGGAGAGACCGGCGGGCAGGGAGCCCTCCCCTCCCGCTGCCCACCGCGCTCCCTCCCCCAGGTTCCCGTCATCTCTCTGTACACCCGGCTGCTGGTACGAGGGTAAGGGACAGAGACCTGTGCGAGCGCGTGTGCCCGTGCGGGGGTGAGCCACCAACCCGGCGCATGTGAGCGCCACGTGAGTGTGAGTCCTGTGTGTGCACCTCATGCATGCGTGAGCGCCGTGCACATGTGTGTGTGAGCATCGCGCCCGTGTGAGCACCTGCGCATGTGTGCGTGGCCGGCCTGTGTGAGCGTCCCCTGCATATGTGTGAGTGCTGTGTGCATGTGTGTGAGCACTGTGACTGCACTCCAGTGTTTGGTGGGCGTGGTGGAGGGACAGAGGAAGACAGAAACTATTAGGGCAGAAGTCTCAGCTCCGAACCTGGGAAGAGCTGCTCGGCCACTGGGGGTGCGCTGGGGATGCCCTGAGGGGTGTGGGAGACTCTCCTGTTGCACTCCAGCTGATCCGGGATTCCTTCTGGAATTCGAGAGAGTCATGTCTGGCGCTCATCCTCATTCCCATGGAGTTCCTCCTGTGGATGGGGTGGGGGTCTGGGAGCCTAATCTGCTGGCTGGAGGGCAGTCTGCTGTCCCCTCTCTCTGGGCACCCCCTCTCCAACAGCATGTGGCCTGCAGTAGCAATGGCTGGGAAATGCTCCTCCACTGAGTGGCCAGAGGGCGGCAGGCAGAGTGGAGCTGACGCCACGGGCTACCTGGGCTCTGGGCAGAGCCGCTTCCTCAGCCCTCTGGGCCCTGCCTTGAGGAGAGAGAATCACACAAATTTATTCTTTCATTGGTGTGAGTTGTTGGGAAGACAGATGTCACCCTGCACAGGGAGGGCTGCTGTCTGGAGAGGTTGGCAGGTGTCTCTGAGGACCTCTCGAGTGGTGGTCACCTCAGTTCCTCTCTGTCCCCGGCTTCTAAGGTCAACACCTGGGTTGCCAGGCCCGGTCAGACCTTGTGTCAAGGTCAGACACAACTTGGGCAAGTGCGGGTTATCCCCGGCACCTAGCACAGGTGTGAAGGGGAGTTTACCAAGTTAATGACATCTGTAACCAGACAGGGAAAATTCTGTCACTGGGCCCCGAGTCAATCCTCTCATCTACGCTTGGGGACATGGAAGCTTAGTCTTATGACCTGGGGGTTCCACTTGCCACAAAACCCACCATGCACACAGCTCCCTGCCCAGGCAGCCTGGCAGGGACAGTGTATAGATTGTCTTGCCAGGGTTTGCCTCCTGAGGGCCCCTCTTCTATCTCAGCAGGGATGTGGTCCTCAATGCGGCTGTGATAGACTCTGACTAATCAGCTCTCTCTGCCCACTGGGGACCCAGCCTGTCTTAGTCTCCTGCATCACATATGGGTTGGTCTTATGGCTGAACACTATGAGAAAAAAGTTCTCCGTGGTTAATTTCCTAGTTCTTGGGAGAGGTCTTGGCAGTATAGTTATGAGATCTAGATAACACACACTGTATAAGCGTGTACTGATCCCCCAAGGGGCACTCTGTCCTGGGGTGGCCAGTGCATTTGGAAAAAGGGTAAAGACAGTGGTGTTCCTTCCTTCCTGGTGAGGGAGCATGGCTGACTTTTAAAGCACAGCTTAGGGTGGTATGGGAAATATTGTCTTGCAAATAGTCTCTCAATGATGGGACCTTGGACCAGGAGGCAAAAAACTGTCCAGTTCTCAGCCTAGACCTGAAAAATGAGAAATTTGGGGATTCTAGTCCTGACCGGTTGTAAATTTAGAGGACCCTTGACATTACTGTGTCCAAGTCTCCCAAAAAGTACCCACAGCATTTGAGGACTGGAGACGCAGTTGCGGAACCACTCTGGGAGCTTTGCAAGATGCCAAGTGTGTCTCTCATCGTCCTAAAATGGCTTTATCTGAGCTGTAATTAGAGTACGGCCCCTCCCCTCTGTCCCTTTCATCTGTTTCTCTTACCTTCTTTCATCAGGCAGAAGGTAAATTCACAATTAAGGTTTTCTCTTTAGACTATGACATAGGAAATTATTTTTCCTCCTATTTTTAGAAATTCCATTTGCATTTATGAGGCTGGTAATGTCTCATAAATATTTCCTGTCAGATAAAATATTAATTAAAAGAGTTAGTTGAGTTACACTCTGAAATCCTAACTAAATCTCTTCTACAACAAATATTTTAAGTATTTTCTCTCCATCAGGAGAATTCCTCCTATATCACCTGGGCATTCTAATTAGCTCATCCATGAATAGCTGATATCTATCAATTAATGAACTATCACTTAGCAATATTTAACAAATGATTGTGTGGCTGCCACCTCGTTTGCAAAACAAAGCAAGCCATTGACAACGGTGCCGAGTCCACACCTGAATCCCTCCTCTTCCCTCAAGAGACAACCAACCAGTTGGTGAGTTTTGTGTTCCTACTTCCCATTTTTAAAAAAATGCTAAAACTCTACATGCACACAAGCACACACGTGCTCCCACCTACCCAATTGGTGAAAATTTTAAGCATCACAGCCCCTTGGTTGAGGAAGGCCTAGTATGTTTGAGATGCTTTGATAGGTGCTGAGAGAGAAACTCACAAGTATAATGTGGACTTGGATCTCACATGCCTCACATAGCAGATAAATTAACACCTAGTATTTTAATTCCTAGGTGCTAATTGGGTGGCAGAGTGGAACTGACAGAAATGCTTGCAGAGCCTGGAGGATGAGCTGAGCAAGGCTGTGGAGAGCAGGGACCTTGTAGGAGACCCGGCCAGCAAGGCTCTGTGTTCAGGGGTGAGGAGTAACGGGAGAATGGCTACCTGCGGGCTGGAGATAAAGTGATGATGATGTGGCTATTATTAAGTGCCTACTGTGTGTTGGGCTTTCCTGGTGCTTCATGTCAGGAACTGCTGTGGTTTACCCAACACCATGGGAGGGAAGAAGCAGGATCAGCACTTCTCAGAGGCTGTGTACTGCCGGAGAGCCTGATTGATGGTGGGTCCTCACCACCACCACTGCCCCCCGCCCCCGTCCTATTTTCTGTGACTTTTCTGGGTCTATGGTTCCATACTCCTGTATAGGAAACAGGCTCAGACAAGTTAAGGGCCCTCTCCATGGCACAGCTACTGATAGCACACTATCAGAAGAGCTGCTATCAGAACCTAGTGTTGTTAGACTTCAAAACCATAGTTGTAATTATTGTGGGCTGAATTGCATCTCTCCCAAATTTATATTTGGGAGCCCCAAACCCAGCACTCAGCATGTGACCATGCATGGAGAGGGGAGACTTCACAGGAGGTTGAATTAAAATGAGGCCATTAGAGTGGGGCCTAATCCAGTTTGAGTGGGATCCTCAGAAGAAGAGGAAATTTGGACTCGCAGAAATACACCAGGGATGCCTGGGTGCAGGGACCAACCCCGTGAGGACAAAAGGAGAGGACAGCCATCTGCAAGCTAAGGAGAGAGGCCTTGGAGAAAGCAGCCCTGTCCACATGCTTGATCTTGTACTGCTGCCTCAAGGACTGTGAAAAACAAATTTCTGTTGTTTAAGCCATGTGGTCTGTGGTGATTTGTCATGGCAACCCCGGATACTAACACACTAACCACGAAGTCTCTCTGCCTCTTAGAAAGGCCTTGCATCCCAAGCTATAGAATTTAGACTTTGTGCAGATTGAAAGTAATGATCAAAAATCACTGACTTAGCCTCGGCGCCTGTAGCTCAAGTGGCTAAGGCCAAAGCCACATACACTGGAGCTGGCGGATTTGAATCCAGCCCGGGCCTGCCAAATAAACAATGACAACTACAACCAAAAAATAAGCCAGGCATTGTGGCGGGTGCCTGTAGTCCCAGCTACTTGGGAGGCTGAAGCAAGAGAATCGCTTAAGCCTAAGAGTTGGAGGTTGCTGTGAACTGTGATGCCAGGGCACTCTACCCAAGGTGACAGCTGAGACTCTGTTTCAAAAAAAAAGAAAAGAAAATCACTGAGTTGTGGAGACTTATGAGCACCATTGTGAAGAAATCTTTCCTGGGGGTGGTTTGTGTGTTATGTGTCCATTTCAGTGACAAAACCATGGCGTGCCTAGTTAGTGACCTCCTTGGTGGCAGAGACCACGACTGTCTCATTCACATCCGAGCACCACTTGCTCCCATTGCTACCGACAGCATAGTAGATGATCCATAAATATTTTCAAATGAAGGAAAGGAAATGGGGAAGGTTCTGGGGATAGAAAAAATGACACGAGAAGCATAGAGCATGGCTTCCAGAAGCTTGCTGTCTGGTGAGGGTGGCAGTCTGTGTGTGCTGGGGTTAGGTGGCAGAGATTATCAAGCAGCGCCATTCAGCAGAGCTTTAGCAATGAAGCAGATACTCAATATCTTTTGTGTATAATGTGGCACGGGTGACTATCAAACATATGGAATGTTACTGTAAGTAAGAAATGGAATTTTAAATTTTTATCGATTTTAATTTAAGCAGACGCTGTGGCTGGTGTCTACCCTTTTACGCAGTCTAGGATGAGGGGCAGGGAGAGCACTGGTGAGCTGGGCCCTGGAGCCGTGGGCAC